ATAAGTCAGTATGATTTTAATCGATTAAGTAGGGAGTTTTAGTCGATTAAATCTTCCAACAACCATTTAGTCGATTAAACATGCAAAGTAGTCGATTAAACATGCAAAGTAGTCGATTAAAGAGGGGCAGATTGATAGATAGTTTCGAATCAGGAACAAAATGATTATTAATTAATTAATGAGGGGCAAAATAATCAAATAGCCCTACCACAACTATTTGAAGTGTGTATTGCTAGACTACTCTATAACTTTATGTTTGATTGTTATGCGAAAATTATAAAGGTGACTTGTGGACGGTAATTTTTTTTTTTAATTCATATATCTATATAACGCTCTGCCATTATTATTGTAACATGACGACTTTCAAATATATATTTTTTTTATCATATATATATATAATGACCTTTTATTTATATATTTTGCTTTGGAATTTTCATCCTTTCCAACCTTTTAATTTTTTAAATAGCAATAAATTTTTTAATAAATTAAAAAATATTTATTTTATTATATAAATATATTATTAAAATATTTTTAAAATGTTATATCGTCACATACTTATATATATTTTTTATTTTTTAAATCATATGTTGTCCCTTTGCCATTGCTTTTCCCTTCTCTCTGTGGGCTCGCTCTCCTAAGGACCACCCATGTCCCATGGGATTAATCCTTTAGAACCAAAATTGATTACCTAAATAATATTATTAATTTAATTTATTCTTAAATATTTCATTAATATATTTCTATTTTGTTTATTAATAATATTAGTATAAGATGTATAAATACTTTTATAAATATGAGATAACGCAATTACTAGAGATTTTGGTTTGTACATAATATCTTTAAAGAAAAGTAAATCAAGATGGAGAGTTAGAAAATTATGTTTTAGAATACAAAATAAAGAGTAACAATTAGTCAATTATAAATACTTTTATTTTCCTAAAAGAGTTATATTAATATGTTGAAATAAATATAATAACCTTTTTATTTAAATTATGCATATAAAGTTAAAAAGTATATTTAAATATTATTACAAACAAGTAAAATAAAATTAAATCATATAATTATTAAATTTTAATTATAAGTCTCTTTATTATACTTTATATATAAGAAATATATATTTAATTGTTTTAACAACATATTATTTTAAAATTTGTAACTAATTTTTTAAAATAAAGTAATTTAATTTAACCATATACGAAATTTTGTTCATCAAATAAAAAATCTATAATCATAAATATTCAATTTAAACAACCAATGGAATATACAAAATAATTTTTTTAATACATAAAAGTTTAGATATGGGTAAACGCCGTTACTACTAATAAGTCTGGAAAGGAATTCGAACTTATGCCCTCATGAGATATGAATTTAATTCTTAACCAACTATATGTCCACCATCATTCATCATCAATTAGCTATTTAGTTAACAACCTTATGAGACTGTTAAACTTTTTTCGAACTTAGAAAATTAGGCAGATTAGGCCTCAAATAGAGATGGCGTCAGCGCTAGATTGTCTTTTATTGAAGAGACAGTTGTTGGATTAGATAACCTTTTACTTCATGACAACTGGAAATGACATATCCCCATATGGAAAAAGCAAGATCACATTGGTGTGTGCAGGCAGGATTCCAACAGTGCCAAAATAGTCGTAACATTGACTAAAATGTTACTGTTCATCAATTTTTTTATCTAAATACTACGCGAACAATGTTATTTCTTAATCTGCCACGAGGGCAAGTTCGCTACCCAGTGTAACGAACTTAGTTTGCTGACGTGTCACGTTTTTAGTGGACACCAAATTCGCTACACGAGATAACGAACTTGGTTTTAACCAAGTTCGCTACCCAAGACAGCGAACTTCATATTTTTTTTTTATTTGGTATTTGTTAACCATTAGAAATGTGACACGTTAGCAAATCGAGTTCGCTACCCGCTGTAGCGAACTTGCCCACGTGGTAGATTGGAAAATAACATTGTTCGCGTGGCATTTAGATAAAAAAGTTGGTAAAAAGTGGCATTTTGGTCAGTGTTCCAAAATACTCAAAGGGAGTGTTTGGTTCAAGTTATATTTTTATTTTTCCATGCATCTCATTTTGGTAAATTTGGATGTCCATGTTTGGCAAAAGTTTTTGAAATACTTCCCCATCTAACACATTTTCCTAGCATTTCAAGCACGTGTGTAAAATTGGGAATAAATCACTATTTGGAAAGACCACTTGGACGGTGGTATTTGTAATTAGATAGATAAATGAAAAAAAAGGACAAAATCCATTGAACCAAAATACTTCTAATCTAAAGTGCCAAAGAAAAAATTCGGTACACTAGACCAAAAAATTCCATAAAGTGTAAGAGTTAATTTTGTCATTTCAACTCACTTCTCCATCTTTATTTTATCTTCAACCAAACAAACAAAGACCGAGAAAATTTAACTCAATTTCCCTGGTAAAACTTTGGCCAACCAAACAATTTTTTTTTATATTTTCCTACCAAACTCACTTTCCAACTATTTCCCTATCAATTACATTTTTCTAGTATTCAAAAAATTTCTCTTCAATCAAACGCCCGATTGAGCAAAATGAATCGATTTGCCTTTATCCGTCTTCAATCAATCAAAAATAGAATTGAATGAGTTGACTCGCTATTCAACGGGGAATTAAAAATATCAACTACCTTAATTTAAGGCTGGTTGATAGATTGATCCGTTAAATCACCAAAAAATTATTAGGTTAACAGGTTAATGGGTTAGTTCACTGACCCATCAAAATAATTATTAAAAAAACCAAAATAAATATAAAAAAAATTAACCTAAAAGCAAGACAGGTTGAATTGAATCGATGAGTTAATATATATTATTAAGCTCAACTTATCCCATTTTGATGGGTTGATGAGTTAACTCATCATATTCAACCCATTTTTCCGTCTCTATGAAAATGTTAATTAAGTGGCAATAGTGACATGGTAATTCTGTAAGTTATTTTGTTCAAGTGAATTCATTTATTTTAAGACATGTCTTAAAGCATATGCTGCAATACGAGCGCAATTTCACTTGTTTCAATTTCACTAGTAAATTTTAGAGGTGCCATATTGAACAACCCAAAAACTTTCTTCATAGTCGTTGTGTTTCTACGGCTACTGCAAATATTTCAAAAGGAAGATTAAAATTGGCCTCAAGATACTTTTCCTTTGAATGAAATGCATAGATAATTTTCTTAACCACAGTAGTTACTTTTTTCCCCCTTCTTGTTTTCATTTTATGGTTTGTCCTTCAAAGGATTTTGGGGATGAGCTCCATTAACGATGAGAAATCTAAATATGAATAATTGAGTGAAAAAGTTTCACATTGGTTAAGAATGAACTAAGTGAGTACCATATAAGTAGAAGGACCCATGCACTTAATGCTTTAAGGTTTTGGATTTGATTATGATGTTCTAAATCCACTTAATGTAATCCCACATTTGATTGTCGTGAATAAAATTTGATATGATAATAAATTTTTATTTGATAAACAAGGGATAAGTTATTTTGCTTATTTTTTTTTTCTGTTTACCTTTGCCTACTATTCTCCCATTAGATCATAATTATCAACACCATTAGAGGTAATAGAATAACATATCCCGATAAAAAAATAGTTAGTACATATTGAAATTAGAAACTTTTTAAAAAAGTTTATAATTGGAATATTTTGTAAGATGGGAACAAAAAAATTCATATTTAAAATTTAACAACTTAATATGACTTGTATTTGGGCCCTTTATTTATAATAATAATTAAAATAAAATTTTAAAATACATACATACACACACGTGTATGTATATATATATATATATATATATATATTTATATATATATATATATATATATATATTGAGTTTATTTTTTCTGCAGTCAATGTAGATAATAAGTTATCTACATTGAGCCCAAAACGATGTCGTTTTGGGACGAAAATTAATATATTTTTATAATTATAATTTATTTAAGCGTTATAATTGTCTTTCTTATTATAATTTTTTAATTTTTCAATCCAAAATAATGTCGTTTTGAGAGTGAATCTAGATAATTTATCTAAATTCACTGTAGAAATCCTGTGTGTGTGTGTGTGAAGTGAATTTTTTATGACATATTTTTTTTTCATTATCACTCTTTGTCTTTTTCAAAATGGTTTTCTAACTCAATATTAATTATATTTCATAATAAGAATTTTGGTTAAAATCTTAAATAAGATTATCTTAGGAAAAAACAAACTTTCCTCAATTTTTTTTAGTTGTCAAATTCATATTTAAGTAATTTGTGTTCCAATTCGGCACTTTAAGTTATTAAATTAAGAAATTATTTTCTTAAAGTTTAACTATATTTTCTTAAAGGCTAATACCGTTAGAAATTCCACGAATCCCTTGGTGGATAAGTCCGACGACTCAGCAGCATTGCGGAATTGAGTTTCCCGTCCGGTGGATCTGATCTTTAGGGGCTCTTTCAAAGCAGAGGCGGAATCAGGGGGGCTAGGGTGGGCCACCGCCCCCCAAATTTCAAATTATATATATATATATATATATATATATATAAAATAAAATTTAAATAATATTATTAAATTATTTGTTTTAAAAATTTTATAATATAAAATTACTCCTCATAACACCATCAATATCATACTACACTCAATCTTTTTTTATTCCTATTTTTATTTCCCAACCCACTTTTCTCTCTCTTAACTTTAACAAACTCTATTTCCCATCTGCAACCCATCGACCCCAAAGGCCAAAGCCATTAAATCTCCTCGGAGGTCTTTTTCTATCTCTATTTTTGTTGTTGTTTTTTATGAAGTTCTCTATCTGTATCTCTATTTCTATTTGATTGTATTGTCTGATTGTCTCGAAAGTCGAAACCCATTTAATTTGAAATTTGCGTTTTTTTATAATTAGTTAATGGCTATGCTTAAGTTAAGAACTTAAGATGCTGAAAGTGAGGGTGGCTATGCTGAACGTTTTTTTTTTATAATTAGTTAATGGCTAGGCTGAAAGTTACTCGTTGGAGTTCTCATTACAATTCAATATGCAGTTTGTTTAAAATGTTTAAAGCCACATGTGAAGTTCTTGATAATATTTCTAATGAAGGAAAGACAGCATCACATCGTGGAGATGCAGATAATGCATATTCATCATTGACATCTTTTGATTTTATCATCATATTGCACCTTATGAAAGAAATTATGGGTATTACTGATGTCCTTTGTCAAGCTTTGCAACGAATATCTCAAGATATTTCAAATGCTTTACATCTGGTTTCAACTACAAAAGAGTTACTTCAGAAATTAAGAGAGACAGGTTGGGAAGCTTTCTTGGTTCATGTTCAAGAATTTTGCATAAAACATGACATTGACATTCCAGATATGAGTGCAAAATATATTGGAAGGCGAGGTCGTGCTCGAAATGAACAAGGTGATTTTTCTACTGAAAATTTTTATAGGATAAATGTCTTTTGTGCTACAATTGATTATCAATTGAAAGAATTAAATAGCAGGTTCAATGATAATACTATTGAATTACTTGCTTTGAGCATGGCTTTAGATCCAAGAAACAGGTACAAGTCATTTAATAGTGATGATATTTGCAAACTTGTTGATAAATTTTATTCTAGAGATTTCACAGAACAGGAAAAATTGCATTTGAAGATGGAGTTACAACATTTTGAGCTTGACATTCCTAAACATCCAGATTTGATTAATTTATCAACTACATCAGAATTATGTCAAGGGCTAGCAAGAACTGGAAAGTCTATTATTTACCCTCTTATTGATAGAGTGATTAGACTTGTACTCACTCTTCCAGTTTCTACAGCAACTACTGAAAGATCTTTCTCAGCTATGAAGATAATCAAGACCAGACTTCGAAATAGAATGGAAGACCAATTTCTTGATGATTCTTTGATTACATACATTGAAAAAGAAATTGTTTTGAGTTTTAGCACGGATTCAATTATAGATGAGTTTAACAATATGAAAACACGTAGAGTAAGAGTTAAGTGAAGTGATCTTAATTTCTGTAATAGATTTCTTTCAATTTTTTGCATATTAGGTCTGAATTGTATTTGAAGTACTTTTATTTATGAAGAAGTATTTTTATTTTTCGCCCCCTCTCAATAAAATTCCTGGGTCCGCCACTGTTTCAAAGAAAATGCGCACTCTAAGCTCGCGGGTTTTTATTGGCCATTTCCTTGTTCTTCTATAGTATTCGCTCCTATATCCTTTCTTACTTAGTGCTATTATCTTAAGTGACAAAACGATTTCACGCAGGATCAAGATAAGATTGATCTATTAATAGTGTTTACAGAAATAACTTTAGAAAAGATTATTTTAATGTAATAAATCAATGAACTTATTTGTAATGTAAAAAAGTTAAAATGAATTTGATAATTAAAAAGTTAGAGGATTAAAATATTCTTTTAAATATTTATTTTGACAAAATGTGAATAATTAATACTTTATCAATTACTTTTCAGTTAAAATAATTTTATAATTAAATTTCTAATTTTAGTTAATGATATTATTAAAAACATGTTAATGTGATTGTATATTTAAATATATTTATATTTATTAAGTAACATCATATCAATTGTCACTTTTAAATTTGTATATTTAAATAAACCTAAATATACACGATTATTAATTTAATTATTTTCTCCGATGTAATTTTTAATATTTCATTTGGAAAATCCATTATTCCATTAATAAAATAAAACATTTTGATAATTATTATTAATATAAATAAATTTAAAATATATTATTAATGAAACATCCAAAAGCTTGTGGCAATAGAATAATTAAGAATAAGATCAAAAAACATCTATATATAAAAAGTAGTACCTACAGAGAATTTTATTAAAGAATTTTTTCTCTCTATTCAGATCAGTATATGTAAAAAAATATGTATTTTTTTTTTCTAATTTATTAAAATAATAGTATACTTTAATTTCCATTTGTTTATGAAATTGAGAGAAATGATTATTAAAGAACTAAAAAATCATGGAAGATATAAAGGAGAAAAATAAAAAATAAATAAAAGATTAAAAAATGAAATAAAAACTTAAAAGAAATAGAAAAATGAAGAATTAGGAAAAATTCCATGTGGCAATTTAAGTGGAACTTCCTCTCTACTTTTTTTTCTAGTAGGAGGGTATATTGTCCTTCGTTTCTATTGTCCTTCGTTTCTGTTAGGCTTCTTTACTGTTTATTCTTGCACATACTTTACATTATTGATTAGGGTCCATATAACCAATGAGAATGACAAATTCTATTGTGCAAGAGTACCAGTTCGTTGCATGCTGCAGCAACATGCATGACATATTTCGTGCCTCAAATGTTGATCTCAATAAAATAGAAAATTTTTGTTGGCATGTAATTGTAAATTTTGTCAGATTCTGATTCAATTTAATGATCTTAAAACTTTATTTGAGGGTAACTTATTCAACTTAGAATATCTGTTCTAAACTGAATTTGAAATTTTTGGTACTGTAGGCGCGCGCTGCACCCATGAAACAAATGCATTTATTGAGTCTCACTACAACAAAAATGTTATTTAGCCACATTTAAAAGTGTGGCAAACATTGGTAAAAAATGTGGCTAATTAACTTTACCTCATTTTAATTAAATGTGGCTAATAGCGGTGTTGCAATAATTTAACCACATTCTTTTATTCACTTTGCCACATTTTGACTAAGTGTGGTAGCCTTTTTTTAGCCACATTTATTGTTAATTTAGCCACTTTATAAATGTGGTTAAACTGTATAGTTTGCCACAATAAACATAATGTGGCTATTTATGTCTGAATATATTTTTTAGCCACATTCATCTGAATGTGGAAAATATATGAAGCTTTTTTTTTAATTGAAAATACATCTTCATGTCATTTTATTTCTACAATCACAAAAATAATCCCAAAAGACAGCAATATTTGTTAGTATACGTATTTGATTACTGAAAAAAAAATACAATAACCTAAGCTAATTCGACTTCATGTGAAGAATGTTCTTGAAACAGAAAAACGAAATGAGGATCCACCAACATGAAATCATTATTTGTGTACAAATTTTCAAAATTTATAAACTATATTGTACAACAATACTAGAGTAAAAGAATTTAAAAATTACCAGAAGTACTAGTGAATGGCCACTTAAATACAAGTGGCCCAATAACAGCAATAACAATTGAAAACACCACAACAACTTTGCTGTAACTTTCACCAAAATCGTCCAGCCACCTTTGAAGTTTAGGTTTATTCAGTTGTGCCTTCAATCAATTGCACAATTCTGTTAAGAGTTGATTCCTTATATGTCTTTGTCACCTGCGATTAAATAATTTTTTACTTTGTGGTAAGTTTTTAACAAAAGCACACGTGAAAGAAGACTAGCATCTATTCATAAGTTAGTTGTTAGCTGGAGACCTAAGAATGATTTTTATTTATCTAAATTCTAGTTTGTATCCAAGCACTTATATGTTCAATTAGTTTACCTCTCAAATTTACTTGGATTCTATGACTTAAGGTTTTAGGTGTCCTTTATCCATCTAGTTGGCTCAAGTTTCTATTCACATCTTGTACAATATGGATTTTACCTCCTTGGCAGTTGGTAGAAATTCAAGATAAATACGTACGTAAACTTTTATCCTTATAAAAAAAAATTTAAAAATTTAAAAAATCTTTTTTTCTATTACTAATATAACTATTTATCAAAGAAGTTTCATGAAAAAAGGGTTAAAAGATAACCTGTGAGAGGAATCGAAGTCTTCTAATGCATACAAATGACTCCCCTTCACCACCTTCCTACATAGGTAAACAAATTGGCATATAAACAAGAAAATTCAAAATTACCAAATCCCAATGATGGGAGAGTCTAAATTAGAAAAAGATGCACCTCTAGCATCCTTATAGAGTCCTGAATAAGGTCCTTAGTATCCTTTTCGTCATCCAAGAAATGAAATGCACCTCAACATCTTCAATCATTGGTAAAATTTTGAGTTTGGCTGAGAACACACCTAACTCAAAAAGAAATTCACTGGCCTGCATTTCAAACACATAAAGGACTGTTAATGAAAAATCTACAATGGCAATAGAAAACTAAATTTTAATGACCAATTATGAACCTCAGGTGACTGAACCTACATATTTATCTATCTATATAATTGTGTTATTGGTTCTGTCATGCATGTTTAAAAAAATAGTGCAGGTATATGCTTATATTTCATCTATAAATTAATGCAATCCAAAAACAATGAAGTTATATTGAACAAATTAATTCAATAATAAAATTAAAAAAAGCCAAAATACATAAATAACTATAGTTGAAGTAAATTTTATTAAGATCGGTTAAAGAGGAAATTTTATAAGAAACAAAATATATAGCCTAATTATTACATAGCTTAAAAATAAAAAATGAAACTATATCCTCCTCAACCAAAAAAAAAACTCAAGCAGCGGACATGGAGGATTACTTGAGTTACCACTCAAAAGGAGCTACGCCTGGGCCTTTCCTCAGCAACATTCACTCTGATTGCCCTCCCGTCCAAGCTCTGCAATATCCGAACCACCATATCAGAATTTTATTACTTAACCACATAAGTAGTCCTTAAAATTTTAAATGATTCAAAATTTCATTAGCTTCCATTTTAAAACATTGTCCACAAGAACATTAACCAGTAGCAATCTTGTTGCCTTTATGCCTTCATGCAAGACAGGTTAAGATATATATAGGGAATGATCAGATGTTTCAAATTAACCTGCAGTGGGAACATATATACTGTCGGAAGAATTCATGATAAGTCATAACTAAGTAGCAAACATTAGAGGGATTTTATTCACATAAGGGGACCAATGTAATTGAACATCAAAATCTCTTCTCCTGTCAACAAAATAATTATTGGAGCTATCATTTTTTTTTCTTTTTTTTCTTAAAATTTTGTAAATATTATATGAACTTCATTTTAACTAAATTCAAAATGGTGTCAGTCCTAACTATTTTGTTAATTTGGATGTTTCAGGTAAGATAAATGACATGTAAATGGCATTTAAATACACAGAGCTATGAGTTTTGGAGAAATGCATGCACTGATTCTGACTTAACTTCCAAGTGAATACTTATGTGGTTGTGACAAGCCAAAACCACGTGATTGGTGCAAGATGACATGCTTCCTCACAATAATCTGTACAAATAATTGGGAAATCAATCTTTATAATTAACTTCTGAAAAATTGATCAAGCAAACAAAGAAATCTTCATTTCTTATATGTAACTATGCGAGTTTAAAAATCCAACATCTGATAATTGGGTTGCACATGCAAGAAAGTAGTCGCACAGTTCGCATATCTATATATAATTAAGAAAATTTCACAATGTTTTCGTTCAAGAAAAATGACAGATATAGGGGATAAAAGAATAGTTTAACGTAAAATAGATGGAATTGATTCTTAGGCTAAGTTTTATTTTTATCTTGATTTAAAATGAATGTTATTTACTCTCCCAACTGAATCCCTATCAAATTAAGGAAAAATATGTTTCATGAAACGAGACTAAATTTGAAGCTATAGAGAGTAACATGTACCTTGATCCTGAATCATTTCGGCAAGTCCTTTGTGGTTCTCAATCCTGAAGTTGTCCAATGGAGGGTCTTGGCTGATAAAAATAATAGAAGAAGCTCTCAAGTGTAAAGGTATGCTCTGTTCTTTCAGCATCATTACCAAGTGTTGTATCACCTTGTTTGTACTTTTCTAGGATTTCATTCACAGTTTCAGTATATTGAATTGGAATGGATAAATCAAGCAACCTCTCAAGAGTAGATATTTTCCGCCCAAGAGATAATTGCGGTGAATGTGTCTTTTTACTTTTATGAGGAGTTTCTTCAAACACCTTATATGCATGGCTGATTAATGCATATTTAGAATAAAGAACGTTAAGCTTGGTCACAATGAAACTATTATGGGCAAGGCCCACTTTCAAACACTGTGAATGCAACTATGTAGTTGAGATCTTACTGCAACAAGATTCCAATAGCTTCACCGAACGATTTTGGACTTAAAACCACATCATTCCAACTCATTAACTCCCAACGAACAATCACTATACAAAATTCAATCAAAAGCAAAATAAAAATGATCCAATTCTAAAATAAATTCAAAAATTAGAGAAACTAGCACTAAAAAAACCTAATATAATAAATTATTTTCCTTATTATGTCGTATTCTGATTTGACCAAGCAAACATGAGCATAAATCAAAATGGAGAAGATCAATTAATCAAAAGAAGTAAATGAAACTCTACTAACCTAGATTGTCATAGATTTGATGAGGTCTGAAAGCTAATGGAGGAAAAAGGATTACAGAAGGGGATTGTTTTCAACTTCATACGACAAAGATGAGGATGATAATTGGGTTTGTTAGAGCATGAATTTGGGAGATGGAAAAGAAATTTGTGGAAAGAGGGTTTGGGCTCCGTTACCTAAGCCCATGAGGGAAGCTTCTTTACTAAATTTACCACATGTGATACAAATGTGGGTAAGCCGATGTCCCTAATCGCTGGTTTTTTTGTAGTGTCTTAGAATTATCTAAGGAAAAAAGTTATCAATTTTGTTTATTTGCCATTCATAAAATCCATAGCTGTCAATGGTCATTGTCAATATTCTTTCTATGTATGTTACTTGGTAGGCCAGCTGTAGATTTCCTCCATAGATATGGGATTCTATTTTCAACGTAAATCCATAATGTTTGCTTTAGACCTCTCTATGTTTATTGGAAAATAATTGGATGGCACATACCATGTGAAGTGTGACACATTCTAATGGTATAGATTAAGAGAAAAATAGTTGTTTTGTAGTGATTTATAGAGAAATACCGTTAAAAATTTGCATTAAGAGTGTAAACATAAACAGGCTTTAATTTTACTTATTTTGTATACACTGTTCTTGTGATTGTTTTGGTAGTTGATTGTCTATTGTGGTTTTCGGGTTCTATAATATTATGCTCTGATCTCAATTTTAGTTGGCTGATATATTTCAGTAGAAATATGTGTCATCCAATATTATTAATTTTGCTTGATGCATTCTGTTCGAAGATTTTTAAAAGAAAAAATCTATTTAAATATTAGAATTCTTTGTACCCAAAAAATAAAATAAAAATACAATTGGTTATCTTTTGAACAAAGAAACAATTTTAAATCATAAAATTCATCTTTCATCGTAAAGCCACTGTTTTTCTCTCATTAACGGAAATTGCAAAAGGAAACAAAAAAGTAAGATTAATTGGACAAGGGTAATAAATTAGCAAGCTCCTATACTTTCTTTCAGTGTTATGAAAACCGACTTGATCCAATCAGTTTGATCTGTAAGCTAGACCTCCAACCGATCTGGTTTAGGTTTTGATCTGTAAGCTGGATCTCCAACTGATCTGGTTTAAGTATTGGACCGATCATGTATTTGATCTGGTATGAAATCGGTGAACTGGATTCAATCGGTATTAAACTGGCATTGATTTTTTTTTAAAATTTGTTTTGTGAAATTTTGAGATAAAATGCTTGAAAAATACCACTAATTAGATTCAAGACTAGACCATGTGAATTAAAAGTTATAACACTTACTATTAAACCAACTCTAATTATTAAGTAAAATGCTTCTAATTTTATATTTTTTGTATATATTTAATTCATGCGATTGAATCAATAACTCACTGGTTGAACTGGTGGTCCATTAATCTAGTATCCTGATCGAATCGATGCTTGGTTTGAGTTTGATAACACCTCTTTTTATTATGTTCGAAATTTCAAATTAGGTGGAATGGTTGATCACCAGATTTTTTTCACAACGCTCTTAATTTTCTTGAAAAATTCTTGTGAAATGGTTTACAAGAAGGAGAAAATCTACTGTACAATAGTTGTAGGTACATCCCTGCTAAAAGGGGAATTTTTAAGGACTTAAAAGGGAACTATAAAATAAAATATGGGTTAAAAAGGAAAAAAGTTTCTTTTTAAGTAAAAGAGAATACCGAGTTCAGTACTCTCGTTATATTAAAGAAATTTCTTACTAGAAGGGGGAGTGGTATATGTATCGGGTACTTATACGCTGAAGCTAGGAAGACGATAACTTTTTGTGTGTTTGAGGAGCACATGGTCCCCCTAATAAAAAATTAGAAAAATAAAAAATATGAACGAAAATAAATATAAAGGCAAAGATAAAGTAAAAGTGTTACCTTTTACTTTATTTGCTAAAAAGAGCATCAAATACTCAGTAGTCTGAAACATTAAAAGTATTTTCAGGGAAGAGAGAATATGAGATGAATTGTGTTTATTTGGTGGCACTAGTAGCTCCTTCTATAGTGTTTGTAGTAGTTCGAATGATGACAACTTGTGATGTGCAATGGGCTGAATTTTGGCGAGGGGTAAAATATGAAGGAGCTCCCACAGTGCAAATGCAATGGGTTAGAGGCCAAAAAGTCTCCTTCGCCATAGGGTGTATTATAGGAACAAAACTTCACTGGAACCGAGTTTATTTATCCTAGGATATACATAGGCGGATTCTGAAATTCTAGAAATTTGCATACGATCTACCTATGTATCCTATGATAAATGAATTACCAGCACCGAAGATTTTCCATATTATAAAGGGAAATATTAGTCTCCTTCTTTTACATGAGCTAACTTATCTCATTTTCTCTCACTTCGATTTTCGCACCTCACTTTTTTTTCTTTTTCTTTTTTCTTGTAATGGTGGGACCCACCTAGTTTCTCTCTACAATATAAGATATCTATCTTATGTAAAAGGAGATTAATAAAACCCTTATTATAAATGGTTAGAATGTCTCAAAGTATCCCGCATAAATTGCTAGAAAAGTTAGCCCCCCCCCTAGTGGTAATAAATTCTTTCGGCGAATCCATTTCATGTTTGATTTGAGTCAGATTATTCAATTCGACCATGATACGTTTTTGTTTACGGATCAAAGATTGAAATTTAAACAAGAGTTGTGGTAGATTGCGAGTCACGTGGGTTGAAACAAAAAATTATTTTAAAAAATAAAAATAAGAGTAAAAATTGAATATATGTGAGTTGATCTATGACTCGCACATGTGACTCTATAATTACGAGATCTCTATTTTTTTTGGATTGCTCCACTAGTTCCGGGGCTTCGTCCCGACTATGTCCAGTCAGACCTGACTAGGTTAGCTAGCATTGGCAGGTGAGTCTCCCAGCGAGGATTTTCTGCATACACAAGGTCTCGAACGCGAGTCCTTGCTTAAACGAACCCAAGTACCTTACCACTTGAGCCAACCCCCGTTGGTAATTACGAGATCTCTATAGAATCTGTTCAAGATTATGTACCAAAAATACCTTAGTTAAACAATTATTTTTCTAAGAAATCTCACAAGATACGCACTGCACTATGCTCAGATAATATCCCTAAATTCTAGCACTATGCAAATTCTTCTAATTGAGCCTGGCCGTGATTCGTTACTATCTCATTTTGTGCACGTTAGTGCATATGCTACAAATATCAGTACGACCATGTGCATTATCAGAACACTTAAAAGATCGAGGATAGGTCTCATTAATGAAAGCCGTCAACATCACAGCAATAACAAAAAACAAGATTCAAGGACCATTCTGATTAGAACTAGTCCTTTTCTAATAAGCTTTTGTCTTCATCTTGAAATCTATGCATCCATGGACCGCAAACATATATCTGTCCAAGCAACCTACTTGAGGGTGCCGAACAATCAATAAAGGCTAGCCATCCAAAACAGAACATTGATGTATCGTTAATTAGTTCACTCTTGTTTGGTGCAATGTTATGTACCTGGTTTTTTCATCATAAATTTCAACTTCACTTCTCTTAAGAAAAAGGGTAGATGAAAACATATGAATAAAAACTTTAGGATAAACCATTAAAAAGTACTTTATTCATCTAAAATTTGGTTTACGATGAGACTTGATGATAGTTAATGTTTTTGTTATAAGACTCTCTCCTAATCAAAATGAGATGACAAATGAACAAAGTATATACAGATGGGGTGGGTTTAGCTTTGAATAGGAATTAGATAAGCTTCTGTTGTCAGTACAGCTTTTAAGTTTTGAAAGAATTGGGACCACAAAGTTGCATACTTTATGATGTCTATTTAAAAACATAGAGCTTTCCCTCAGAGTTTTAGAAAGTCCACTGGACCATTTACTATGATTTTGAGGCACAAAATTGTATATTGCTACTGCCTTGCTGGCTTGTTTGGCGCCTTGTACTTCAAGAAACAAATATGTATGTATATATGTAATATATAAATATAAGAAGTTGCAGGTTGCCTTGAGAGAGTGGAGAGGTAACAGAGTCTGAGAAGAGATGGGTGGTGTTGCATGGACAGAAGAAGAAGATGACTTGCTTAAGAAATGCATACAACAATATGGAGAAGGAAAGTGGCATCGGGTTCCTCTGTTGGCAGGTAAACTGTATTCAATTCTTTTCTTTTTCTTGTGTTTGTCGGTTGTATTATCCAAAGTAGTGCTATCTACACTTTAATGGTAAAGAAAAAGTGGGCAATTTATTAATGGCCAAATGATTTGTCAAAACTTAGCAATTGGTTGTGGACAATTAGATTTATTTGGAGAGGTTAGGGGTGGAAATGAGTTAAGACTTTTAAATAGGTGTAATCAATCTATTTTCCAAATATAAGGGATGAATCTGATCTATAACCGTCTTAATTGGCCTCTTGGGCACCCGTGCAATTCCTACTCGGAAACGGGAAAATCCAGAACCCAGATATTAAAGGAGGTGATGTCTACGGAAATGCTAAATGTTCTGGATGAACATCAATATTGGGTCCCTTTGTTCTTAGTCTCTCGGTGAACGCTAACAAATCTAGAAGAAGAACGAGAGAAAACAGCATTAGTGGAAATGACGTCCAAACAGCGAGTAGCGATGAGGTACAATCGCAACGTAATGTTCATCCAGAACAACCTGAAAGCCTATTTTGAATCAAAACTTCTAAACATCAAAGCCTACTTAAATGGGTCAATAAGCTAGCGGAGCTCTTTAAACAAGCCAAATAAATCTTTAGTATGAATAATAAAATATTTCAACACACTGAAGATTTTAGAAGGCCTTTTCAAAAGCTTGAAACTTGGCATATTGAAATAAGCTTTTTAAAAAGTTTTGGTCTAATCCCTTTGCTAAACAGGGCATGTCAGGTAAGGCTTTAAACAGGTTAGTAATGATGGCATTCACATCAAACCATTGCAAAAATTGAGAAGAATTATCACATTCTAATGGACCCTTACATGCACAAAAATAAAAGGACGTATTAAGTACAACTAAATGAATAAATTATCTAATGTGATATAAGATCATGTGAGACATTTTAATTATTTATATATAAATTATTAATTTGTCTTTGGAAGGAAAGAATAATCATTGATTTACATATTAATGACTGAGAACGTTTAACATGACCTCATATCATATAAAAGGATTCATTTCCGTATGTTTACAACACGATCACATGGAGTAACTCTGATCAAATTGTTCATAAAAAAACATTTAAACAAATACGTTTGAATTATTATATGCACTTTTACATCTTAAATATAATTATTACAATCTAATTGACTTTACTACAAGGATGTATAGAGCACGACTACACCTAAAATATATTTGAAAAGCGAGTGACCATGATTAATTTGTTCTTATGTAGAAACATATTTAGTAAATTAATTTCCAAAAACATAATTCTCCTATTGATAATACTTTTTCAACTGATTAATTATTCTTCAAATGTTGGTCTATTGAAGGTCTAAACAGGTGCCGAAAGAGTTGTAGGCTAAGATGGCTCAACTATCTCCGTCCAAACATCAAAAGGGGAAATTTTGCTGAGGAAGAAGTGGAAATGATTGTCAAACTCCACAAATTATTAGGCAACAGGTCAACTTTGACGTTGTAGTCTCTCTTTTGCTATTTCCCCATGTATGCTAGCCATTAGGAGTGGGATAATGATAACAGCATTATATACTTTGCAAAGGACACCTTAATATATTCTTGTGTTTGTGTTTGTTGCATATAAGGAAAATATATTATGTAGTCTCATAATTCTGAATACTCAATGCATCATTTAATAAAGTTGGTAAAAAATAATTCATTTATTTGCATTTATTCTACCAGTTCCTTTATGATTAATGTCACTTGATTCCCACATTTTATTACTTTTAGTAAAGAAGTATTTACTCCAACAATACTAAAGATATGCTGATATGTAAGCATATTAGTATAACAAGTACCAGATTCATCATAAAAGGGACATGAAAGAGAGGATTTTAAGCTAGTTGCTACTCTTTTTCAGGTGGTCACTAATTGCTGGAAGGCTACCTGGAAGGACTGCTAATGATGTGAAAAACTATTGGAACTGTCATCTGAGTAAAAAACTAAATGCACTAGAAGCTGAAGACAGAGAAATAACCAGAGATGTTCAAGTGATTAGGTCCCAGCCAAGAAACATTGGTTCAAGCTCAGTGAAGAGGAGCCAGGTTGAGACTCCAACTGACAAAGTAGTTCAACAAGAGAGTGGCGTATCCTCACTAACATTTGATGCTGATGGTCAGAGCCATATGCTTGAATCACAGCATGACAACATATATTCATGCTTGGACCAACAGGGCATTGTTGGTGACTTGCCAATGGACTTTCAATTCGAAGGATTTGAAGCAATGATAAACGGAGAAGGTAGTAGCAGCCAATGGGATTGGGATGACTTGCTCTTAGACATGGATATGTATAATGATTTTTTTTCTTAAATTATTCCTGCTGCTATAGGGAAGACAATGTTGGTCCTATATAACTTAGTTGTGTATCAATATCAATATCAAAGTTAAATGTTTTCGAGGGAAATGAGATACGAGATGGAACACATGAGATATGAAATGGAACATATAAGATATTTTCTCTTACACTGAAACAAAAATGCTGCAAACAGACACGAAATTGAAGGCTTTGGCGAGAGATATCGTGAAAAAGTAACCTAAAAGAAAGATATGTAATTTCATCTTTTCGACGGAAGTGTCACAGATATATAAAAGCCATTAATGTAATCTTTTCATCAGCTCAAACTTTTGAGTTAAATTAGTTCTTTACATTGTATTAGAGCTTCAGTGACCACGAGGTCACGAGTTTGATCTTCACCGCTCCCACTTTTTAGTGGAATTAAATAAGTATAATGTAAACCAAAGAATTAGATGAAGGTTTCAGAGATGAAAAACAAAATTAGAAATGAAGTGCTTGATTCGGATTGATGCATAACAGTAACGTTTATAAAGCAATGCTCACTACTACATAACTACTCATTAAAGCAGAAAAGAAAATTGCCCATTACATTACTATCCATTAAAGCAAAAAGAAAACTGCACACTACATAACTACCCATTAAAGCAAAAAAAAAAAAAAAAATGACTCCTAAATAAATAATATTAAACACTAAATATCAAACTGCTTTTCCTAAATCATAATCTCTAACACTCCCCCTTGCTTTTGGAGCTGCAAACACCAATCTTCTCTCTTATATCTTCAAATTTGCTTGCAAGTATGACTTTGTGAAATGTTTGCCCATTAGTCTTCTAACTTGCAGTAAACATGTACAATTTCACCTTCTTTCTGAACTTCCCTTAAGAAGAAAAACTTGATCTTAAAATGTTTGGTCTTCTCATGAAAAACTAGATTGTTAGAAATTGCAATTTGTAACATCCCTGTCTCGAGCCGGTTCAATTAACATACATATGATACAAACAGAAACAGCGGAAGACTTAACTTACGAAAATACGAGCTAACTTTTTCTTTTATTTTTCATTAATCTTAATTCACATGATATCTCACATTGCATACTTCTCCTAATTTAATTTGTATTTGACGAAGACGAAAATCGGGCAGAGTAACCTCTGTCAATTGGACAACTGAGGATTTTCCAATCCCACTTTCAAATGTTCTTGATAAACAGTTTATACAATATATAATTTCAGAAATACCAGATATCTATAAAGGACTATATACCCATCCATGGGTGCATGCATAACTGGCTTCGTGCCACTATGTCTAACAACATACATATTTCAGCACATGCACATATCTGAATACACAAATGTACATGCATCAAATATGAACACATGTACAAAACATATACGGACCATATATTGTATAATGGATCAAACATCATGATCCCAAAATGAATAGAACACTATACAACGATACATATTCTCCAAAAATAATATCTATAATAAATAGTAGCGTCCGGCCACCTAGAACTCTATATCCTCATACTAGTACCTCTAGCCACGGGTAGTGTCCTTGTCCCATGAGGGCTCTTCAATTAACTGTATTCCTGAAATCATATCCCCAAACGAGGTAAGAGACGAATCTCTAGTAAGCTCCAGGTTTATGGAAAACTCTCCATACCCTGGGCTCACTTCTTGCAAGACAGTCAGATATATAATATACAAAACATCATATAAGCAAATATCATAGCTGAACAAGCATATACACATATCTTATCAAAGATGCACGCAGTATTTCCCAAGGGAGAACCCTAAGCGAAAATCAACGCACATAACAAATATCATAACTAAACTGAGCATATATACATATCTTATCAGAGATGCACATAGTATTTTGAAAGGAAGGACCCCAAGAAGAAATCAACGCACATAATTTCTTTTATGAAAATTAACACAATAATCACATCAGAACAAAACATATCTTATCAGAGACGTATGCAGTCATTCCCAAACAAAAATTAACACAATAATCACATCAGAACAAAACATATCTTATCAGAGACGTACGCAGTCATTCCCAAGGGATGACCCCAAGCGGGAATCAACGTACGTAACAGATATCATATACAAAATCATCACAATAATCACATCAGAACAAAACATATCTTATCAGAGACGTACGCAGTCATTCCCAAGGGATGACCCCAAGCAGAAATCAACGTGCGTGTTCCCAAGGGAGGGCCCCAAGCAGAACCAGAACATATCAAAGGTGTACACCATCGGTCCCGAGGGATGACCCTAAGCAGACATCAGTGCACATAGGATCAATGGCCAGAGATCATCACATAACAGAGGTGTACACAGTCAATCCCAAGTGGAAATCAATACATATATTCCCAAGGGAAGATCCAAGCGGAACTCAATATATAACAGATATATACACAGTCAGTCCCAAGGGAGGACCCTAAGCGGACATCAGTAACATATAGAATCAATGGCCAGAGATTATTACAGAAATCACATCAAAACATATGAAAGTAAACACATCAAAACATATCAAATTAAACACATTAAAACATATCACATCACATCATCATATAGTTCTATATGAATGCATCTATATGATATATCTCTACATATCATACAACCTGACCACAGTTCCTACACTATGGCGGAACACAAAGTAGAAGTGAATCTCATAAACATAAAGCTTACCTCTCAAAGCTGTATAGATGGCCTCGAGTTACCAAGCCTCCTCTGATGTAGGGTCCTCAACAAGACTCTTAGGCACACCTAGAATAGGGAATCCATACAAATATCAATAAAATGATTCAAAGCAAGTAGTTAACCAGACACACCATTTATTGATTTCATCTTTTACTTATCACATATTTCTTAACTATTCATACATACGGCACTGTTCATCTCTACAGTACTATTCATGTATATGTCACTATTCACGTATACGGTACTATTCAAAAATACAGTATCTCAAATTTTCCAAATACATTTTCACCGTTAAAATCTTCATCTGAACACTTTTCTCAACATGAGTCAAGCCTCAATCAAGCTCTAACATGCTCTCAATCAAACCAAACTTTCAAAATAGAAAACTAAATCAAATCTTCATCAAAACTCAAAGAAAATTAGGGTTTCTCAACATAAACTTACTTAGAACGAAGGGGAAAGCTTACTTCAAGCTCCCATGGCTTCAAGCTCCATCAAAATTCTCACTTTCAAAGAAATCCGAATTTTAGAGGAAGAAGATCTCTCTCTACAGTGAAACCCATCCAGAAATACTGGTACCAATGGATTCCTCTCTAAATTTCTCACAAGTTTGGCTTTGGAACGAAGTGATTTAGAGGTCTATAGCTCAAGTTATAAGCCTTGGAAGATTTGACTTCAAAGTCTCTTTCTCTTCTCTCCTTCTCTGTCGTTCATTCGCGAGAATTAATGAAATGAATAATAGTAACTCACTTGAGTTACTTAAGTGAGTTCACTATACTAGAGAGTATAAACTTATCTATCTATACACCTCCATTCATTACCAAACTTTACCCACTGGGCAAGAATATTTTTCTAGACATATTACTAACTTTTCGGGTAACTTTGCTTAGCCGCATTTTTACCCCTTAACTGTCATTTTAACTCTTTTTTCACCAAAGGTGACTTTATTTCTTTTTCTTTATAATTATCCTTCAATATTACATCCATAATAAATGTGAGGGTCATTATACAATTGTTGCTTGGTTATCAATATAAATTTTAGTATTGTTCCATTGCTTCAGGTGTAGATCATATAAAATTTTCCTTAACCAAATTGCTTGATTAGTTGCTGCCGTAGCAGCTATGAGTTCAACTTTTGATGTGGACTGTGCTACAACATCTTTCTTTTTAGAGCACTATGAGAAAACTCCCAAGCCAAGAATAAAATAATAACTAGAGGTACTTTTCATATCATCCACAGAACCTCCCCAATCACTGTCAGAAAACCTCAATAACTTAAAGTATTGACTTCTCTTAAATTTCACATGAAAATCAATCGTTCCTTTGATGTATTTCACTACTCTTTGCTATTTTTAAATGCATTTCAGTAGCACAATGCATAAAATGAGATAAAAGACTTACAGAAAATAAAGTGTCTGATCTTGATACTGCGAAGTACATTAGACAACCAATCAGACTTCAAAAGTAGCCTTATTCAACTCTGTCAGCTCCATCATCTTTGCTCAAGCTCTCCTTTTGATTCATTAGAGTGGTCACTGCCTTGTAATCCTCCAAATAACATTTCTTGAGAATTTCCTTGGCATACTTCTTTTGACATATGAAAAATTTGTCTTCTGACTTCTTAATCTCCATTCCTAAAAAGTATGTCATGAGTTCAAGGTCTGTCATTTCAAAAATTTGCGTAATTTCTCTTTTGAACTTTTCAACAAGCTTGGCATTGCCACCTGTGATTAAGAGATCATCAACATAAAGAGAGACTACAAGCAAATCATCATCTTCGTGCTTTATATACAGAGTAGCTTATGACATGCTTTTCTTGAATCCTAAGCTTGATAGATGCTCATCTATCTTGCTATACCATGCTCTAGGTGCTTGTTTCAAGCAATATAGAGTTTTCTTGAGCAGGTAGTCTTTATCTTCCTCACGTTTTTCCACAAATCCTCCGGGTTGTTCAACATAGATCTCCCCCTGCAAAATACCATTCAAGAATGCATATTTTACATCAAGTTGAAACACTTTTTCAGCCTTTTTGAGTTGCAACCGCTAGCAAGAGTATAATAGTATCCATTCTAGCCACAGGTGCTACGATTTCAGAATAATCAACACCAAAAATTTGTGCATATCATTTGACTACAAGTCTAGCCTTGTACTTGTTGATGGAGCCATCAACATTTATCTTGGTTCTAAACACCCATTTTACTCCAATAATTGTTCTATCCTTCGGTTTATCAACAAGCTCCAAAGTATTATTATTTTTTATCATTAACAACTCATCTTCCATTGCTTTCTTCCAATTCTGATCTTGAATAGCTTCTTTATAACCTGAAGGTTCAGAAAAGGCTACATTGCATCTTTGATAAATATCAGATAGTAACCTTGTTCCACAAATTGG